GGGGAGGATACTTTTGTCAAGTAGTGTATGTGAGAAAGCTGAGAAATAACGTAGAACATTGATAATATCATAGAATGGAGACGTATAAAAATATTAGACAAGTATAAAATGGATGCAGAGAAGAGGATCAACTAAAGAACTAGGTGACAAATATTTTTCAGTCAACTTGCTAAAAAAAATACCCGTCGTTCGTTCCGATTTCATTGTTTTCTTCATGCTTTCTAATGATATGATCACATTTGTGTTTTCTATGTGTATGGCTTTTAAATTACTTTGATGTCTTTCAAACCAACCAAATAATTCACTCACTGCAGTCATATAATTTTAATCTTAATAGTGAAGAAAAGCTTCACTAGTGCCTTGTTGTCGATTTCAGGATATATTATTGTGTGTGACACTGCTCCATTCTTTTTATAAAATGATTCATTTGCTACTCTAAGAAGATGTAAATGGTTTACACTCTTATCTTACTTTTTTTCTACTTTTCTGTTTTGAATATAATTGGACTACGAACTTGGTTGACAGCGATTACACTTATCAAAAGTAAATACTTGAAGGCAAGAAACACACCCAGAAAGAATACAAGTAAATAAATAATTCATACTCGTGGAAATAGTTTCATTTAATCAATCAGGTGCCTACCGTTGTGTTTTCCAACTTCCACCAAGAACTACTGTTGTTTGACACCTATTTGAAGGTGCAGTGTGTGTGGGTGTCGATGAAAAGAAGATTCCATCGGGTCATTCGTTCGCAATAGTCATCATATCTATTCACTTACCCATCCTATCATCATGAACATCAGGAAATCATTCTATTGTTAAATGAATTGCAAAGGATCAATTTTAAGGATTCTACTAACAATATTCATTTCTGGATAAGGTTATTAAAAACTACTCCATCTTGTAGTCTATCGAAATGAATTGATGGTATTGCGTTGTTGACATACTTGATCAAATAGACAAATGCCAGTTTGGAATTAAATGGAAATTTTAGAATTTAATCATACTCACTTTTCATCCAAGTCATACGTAAAGATTTGTGTTTACTGAGCAATACTATCGTCATACAAATACAAAGAAATTCCCATTTTGTTTCTTTTTGACAACGAATAAAATCGCGGCGCATAGATTGATGGTGGTTTCTCAGGTTGAGCATCAGCTTTGCATATAATCAATGAATATTTTCTATTCGCAAACTGATTATTATTGTTTAAAATTAGGGCGTCGATTATTCATCTAAGTGATGTGTCATTGTTCACTCAATCCTTCATTCTTTACGGTTACTTAACAAAATACTTAAATCGACCGATTATTTGTTGTTTTATACTATTTACTATAGATGTGGGATGTCATTGAGCGATTGCTAGATGTGGATAGGGGCTTGCGTGGATATGAGTCTACTCTTCACTCACACTACCACCCACACCATCGAGTGTCACAATTTGAATCGCTGATCTCACTGCGAGCAAATATGAAATCGCGTAGGATGTGAGTAGCTATATGAGTGCAGATCTAAGGCTAAACATAGGTCTTCCCTTGGCCCACATACTTGATCAAATCATTCACTCACTCGCCCAAGTCAATCCATATACACACGCCTATGGGCGCTTTTATCAACACCTCTTACATTCACAATCTATGATGAATATAGCTTTTGTTTTATGAAATTTTCCACTAATAAAGTTAATACTCTTCTGTAAAAAAAAAGTTATTTATTTCTGCAGATATAATAGCGCTCATCAATCAACTATTTGTAAAATTTCTTGGATCTAAAGAGAACTCATGTAAAAAAAACTGATTTTAATTCATTACTTGATTTTTAATCCATTTTAATGATGACAGTCGACGAGTATGTACCAATTGGTGTCATCTCACGAAGTGTAGCATATGTGTGAAAGGGCAGTGTAGTATTGTACTTACCATTCGTCGACGCGAGGATTCCGAAAAAACAATAAAAAAATACAATTGCTAGGTCAAAACTCGAGAAAAACGCATTTTCTAGTTGTCAGAATTAAAATTAATTAACAACTCAAATAATCGACTAAAATTGATTAAAAATCAAGAATCTGATTAAAATTTGATTAAAATCGTGCCATTTTAATCGATTTCTAATCAGAACAAATTCGATTATAATCAGATTTTTTTTGTCGTTTTTTTACATGGGAAGCTAAACAGTTACTTTCGTTGATTCTCTTTTACGATGTTATATGTTGCATGAATAATCGCAGCTTATCGTTTGTAATGTTGTTTTTGGACTTTTCTTTATTGAGTCAGTGGCGAAGATAAGATATTCGCCACATGTTTGCGTCATCTTATGAAAGAAAAAAGAATATATAAGAAGATAAATGATTGAAGTCGACACAAAACATTCTCTACAGAGAGTAGTGTGCGTTAAATGACTACAGGTCATATCAAGTTTCTTCTCAACTAATACTAAGATTCATACATAAAAGATGTTCGCAGTTTCATATAGTCTTTTAGAATACTACTCCCAATTGGTGGCTTTTGGACATGTTTTAATGATTCCTCTCTTAATCATCGTCCATGCGGACATGTGCTTTCCATCAAAAATTCTTCCACACTCTAAAGATTAGTATATAGGAATCAGTATTCATATTACACATCCTGTCGCTTTGAAATTTCAAAAAGATTCCGTAGTTATACTGATGCTAGAAACCTGAAAATCATCATGAAAAATCTTTGAAACAATAACTGGCTTTGTTCAACCATTCATTCATTAATAATGAGTTTGATTGTGTGCAACAATAAGCGTGAGAAACAGTGGCGAACGCCAATGTCAAAGATGCACAAGCCTTCTACAACGGACGTTTCTCAAGTCCCATCGAATTTCTAAAATCTTGATCTGATCTACAGAATTTCAGCAAAACAAAAAGTTCCAATTCGCGTCTTCCTAATTGTGAACGTTTTTTAATCGTAGATAAAAAGTTAGGTCAATCAACATGAGTCAGAGTGAGGCCGCTAATTCTTGTCCGCATTTCGGAGCTAGTCTTCCAACTTGATTTTTATCATCTGTAATACTTCATGCTCTCATTTAGCGAGTACTCCAAAACTTAAAATCAAAGACAACAACATACTTCATATTAAAATCACTGAATAAGCTGTTTTGGTCTTGGTTTTTAGTTGGAATCAGTAGGATTAGCATTGATTCTCCGAAACTACGGCTCACTTTTCTCATCACACTATTGTCGCAGTTCCATTCATGCTAATCCTGTTCTCGAAATTTCTAATTGTCTAAAAGGATGTTTGTCATCAGTAGACTTCTTCCTTTCATGGCTACTTTTGTTTATATGATGGCGATCCTTTCTTTCTTGCTTGTGTCGATGTTCTTTATGAATAATCCGATACCATCAAGTTTCGGATAAATTCTAAAGGTATGCACGTATGAGTGTAGACAAAGGGTGGGCAAGATTGCTTTGCCATGCTATGCAGGTCGACACTCATTTCCAGTCATGTCTCACAGAATAAAAAGTTTCACATCTATACCGACAATTTTCTAAGGGATGCCTTTGGCATGAATATTTTGTTTTTGAAAAGAATCTTCATGATTTTAAAACTGTTTTTCCTTCAATTGAATAGACTGGATACGTACACATTTGCTAAGTTACCTGCTGCAGGGTACATCAACAGTTGAGCTCCTGACACTTGAGCCTAGCATAAACAAGAGATTAAAGAATACAAGAAAATAATTTTATTTGAATAAATTCACATTCGCATTAAAAAAAATTAAGTAGAGCTCTTGTTCGTTTAAAGTAAAAGTTTCTTGTTATGAAACGAAAAGTAAAAACCACTTGTTGTAATTGCTGATCCAAAAGTTCATATGTCACACTTTTCTTTAGTTTCACAAGTCCAGCTTGTAACTATTTAGTCACCATCAAGTTCGTATGTTATTTCACTCTCAAATATTTGATACATTCATAAATTGATGGATTGTTTCGTGTTGGATTCTGAGCAGAGACAATTTAGCTATTCTACAACAGAAAACACATAATGGTTAATACTACTTTAATATCTTGATGCCAACCTTTAGAAGGGTGTGGGTATAAGTCAAGAGAAGACGAAGGCCCACGTCCACACCCAAAACTAAAGAAATGTGTAAAATATGAACTTTTGGATGAGTAATTAGAACAAGTGTTTTTTTCGTTTCATTTGATAACAAAAGATGTATACTTTAAATGGGGAAGAACTCTCATCAATACTGGATCTGCATTTGAAACCATTCAAATAAAATTATTTTCTTGTAATTTTTAATCTCTTATTTATGCCAGGCTCAGCTGTCTGGTCACCCTGTCTGTCCATCAAATCAGAAAGCAGCATTCATTAACAATTGATAAGAGCTGGAAACCAGCTGATGGTAACAACGAAAACGTGTAATCACAGCTAATCGAGATCGGCTAATCGGAATCGGCTAATCGGAATCCATGACCCATTTTTTTCGAAACGCCATTAGTAGACCAGGGACCGATAGAAATCGTATTTCCACGAAGATGATTTACCAGAGATAATCTGGGGCAAGGAATTCGAATCTGAGGTTCATTTTTCTCGAACACTTTTCATAGGTTGTTTATGCGTTGTGTCAGTGAAGCTGAAGTGTGATGAGTAAACTGAGGTGTAGTTGAGGTTGTCACGGTGTGCCGTGAGAGCGCATGTTGCCGTTCTGAGAGTTGTAATCTAGGGGGGATGAAGTATTCGTATTAGATGTGTGTGGATGTCTTCTTTCACACTCCACGCATTTGTAGTCCCAGCCACCCTCACACTAGATTCGACGCTCTGATGCTGGTTGGTCTGTAAACAGTCAATTTCTACGTAATTTTCTAAGTAACCACTAGTGTCGACATGTAAAACATCCTATAGGATCTTTACCAGTTTTCCACCTCAGAATGCAGTGCTGCTCTTTCAGACAAGGGTTAGCGAGTCCATTGGATGAGCGCTACTTGATTTGTATTACAGAGAAATCATTTCACTAATTCTATGTTGTTATCTATTTATAGTGTCACCATGAAGATATGTGTCAAAACTGCATGTACTGGAAGACCTCGATTTTTCGATTTTGACGTCGAGCCTTCTACCACAATTAAGCAACTAATGGAGCTTCTTTCTAAAAAGGTTAAAAATATTACTGTTATTACGGATGAAAATTTACAAAAATCCTATTTTAATTTCGATGGAGATATACTTGATATTGATGAGAATACGCTGATGTTATACGGTGTAGAAGAAAACTCTCAACTAGAACACGTTGAATCTTTTAATGAAGGCGGCCGTGATCCAGGTGCTTTAGGTGGTATTGGAGCAAAATTTGTCAATGTTAGCCATAACAATGGATTAAAACGACGTGAATGGGACAAAGAAGCTCCCGAATGGCGAAGAGTGAATCGTGGTTTGGTTCTTGAAGGTGAATGTACAAATTCAAAATGTAAAGCATACGGAAACACGGTTGCTATATCAATGAATTATCGGAAATTTGATGTTGTATGCGATCCTGATATTGACAAGACTGTATGTCCTGTGTGCAAACAATATGTTGAGCCAAAAACTTGTGGTTTCAACAATTGCTGGTGGAGATTTGAGGGTGTAAAAAAAGAAGGAAGTGGTAAACCACCACAATCTTGTCAAAGTAATTGGAGACAAGCTGATGATGCATATCATTATTTTGACCAAGAGATCAGTGGAACGATTACATGGCTTCGGCTCACGTTCGAAGTGGTAAAAAATAAGCCTGCCAAATGAATTTACGCATTACTATACACACCTTCACTCAATAGTAATATTGGTTTGAATATTCAAGATTTTTCACTTCGATCTAGATGAAACAAGTCCTGAAGTTTTTTGTGGAAGACATAACAACATTTTGATCAATGTTTTTTTTTCGTAAACTAAATATAGGTGTTCAGAATGGTAATAATAACTTTATGAAACAAAAAATGTCGAACTAAAGTGTTTTTATGGTTTTGAGCCATTTGCTAATGTTTGATGATGTAGGATGGGTGAGCGAATGAATGAAGCTCTTCACTTCATCTTCCAAACTATGGGCATCCGAAATATTTTCAGAGTTTGTTTATCACTGAAGATTTATAAATAACATCTTATTCTTGTAGTGGGCTCTCGCTCTACAATTGTTCAACTAGAAACTTGTAAGTGGCATCATTTTCTAAAGAAAATTAAAAGCCAGAGTTATTCCAATGACCATAATTGGAAAAAAAAAGTTTTCTGCTTTTTAGATAAAGCGAAGCAGTACCTCAAGGGGAAAAAATCTCATTCGCAGCCATCTCGAATGGCTGTGAATGGCTGTGAGTAGCAGAGAATGATTGCGAATGGCCTGGAATGGCTGAGAATCATTGTGAATTGCTGCGAACGGATGCGAATGACTGGAAATGAATTGGAATATCTAAGCAGCCTTCTTGAGGGTGCGTTTCATCTAGGGGTGGGACTTTAACTTTAACACTTTAACTTTAAGAATCTTAAGGTTAAAGCAGTTGTATCATTCGTAAAAAGCAACCAGTCAGGTCCTTATTCTCCTATCCTAGGAGGCGTACTAGGATCCTCATCTGCATGTCCCAGGAATGGTACTTGGATCCTTATCTCTCTATCCTTGAAGAGATACTTGAGTCGTCAATTGCCTGTTTTATGAGGGGTACTAGATTTTTATTGTTGCTACCTAAAACGTGCTGCTTGAGTCTAGGGATGTAACAATACAAATATGGTATTGAGGTATTGGTATTGAATGGCACTGGTATTGATAGATATGACCCTGGTAGTAATATTGATATTGTATGAGGGTACCCTTGGGTCCTCAAGTCCTATTATATACAGGTACCCTTAGGTCCTCATCTCCTATTATACAAGGGTACCCATAGGTCAGCAGAGGGATACAACAATCCTAGCACTTCCAATGGTATTGGTGTTATTGATAGTTTGCAAAGGAACATCAAAGTTGAAAATTTCGAAATGCTGATGGTAGATTCAAATTCCTCGATCCTGAAAGCCGTTATTCAAACTTTATGTAGCACAACTATTTTCGAAAAAAGGTCTTCCTCGACGAAAAAAATCAAGAACGTAAAATATGGAATGATTAATTTTATGCTCTTGATTTTTCGTCAGGGAAAGACTTTTTTATCAAACATAAGTGTTTTTTTTATAAAGTTTGACCAAAGTTTGGCAGCGTCGTGAAATTCGAATCGGTGATGAGTTTATCAAATACTCGAGTTTGTTCTTCCTTTGCACACTATCAATACTATCAATATCATTGGGGTGTGGGTGTGGGCGTGGGTGTGAGATTTGTGGGTGTGAGCCTTCATGAGTAGTAGAACCACATCCAAACCCACACCCACACCCCACATCCACACCCAAACTCACATCCACACCCCACACCCA